GGCAATAACCAAATGAGAGAAGGCCAAGAAAAAATGATTGAAGGCCAAGAAATAATTGATGAAGGCCATAACCTTATGGATGAAGGCCAAGAAAAGATTATTGAAGGCCATGAGTTATTAAATAAGGGGCAAGATGCCCTTAAAGAAGTCAAAGAGCTAATAGAAAAATTAATTAGTTTCGGAGTAATTACTACTATCAAAATTAGCTCTAAAGAATCTAACCAAATGGCAAAGAAAAGCTCTCAACAAGAGTTAAAAGAAAATTTTGAACAAGGTGATCCGTCAGTAGGATTACTTGGAGAAAGTTCAGGGAAGTTTGATTATTATGTCAAATACTCTCCCTCAGAAATATCAGTGTCTCAAGCTGAAAAGTCGACTATTCAAAATGCCGAAAGCCATAACTTTCGACCTGCTTACTCAGGAAAGAAAGAAAAGAAAGCTGCAATAATAGACACCTTGTCAAAAATGACAATGAATGAAGAATATCTGCAGGAATACCGTAGAGTTTGTAAAATGGCATATTCAATGAGATCCACTAAGAATTGCCATCCTATCCATGAAGGGATTTATCCTAGAATTAATGTCATGCAAGGTGCAAACCCAAAAGCAATAAAAGAGTTATTCAATTATGGTTTTGTAAACTGTATTTATCTCTCAAAGGATAATGAAGAAATTTCAAAACTCCTAGAAGTTATACGCCAAGGAGTAAAAGACTTCAAAACTAGCACCAAAGCTCAAAGGGTAGTATTTGTCAAAATTTACTCTACAACACCAGAATGGGAGAAATCTTAATATCTCCCCAATCATCATATAGTTCAAATTGGAATCTAGTCTAAGAAGATCAAGGTAGAAGCGAATGAAGATCAAATTTTTCAAGACTTTGAAAAGTCTCCTTGTGGGATTGAGTTCATCCAAGAGAGATGAGCTCTAGGATTCAAGGTTTTACTCCAGATCTTTGATAGAATGAAAGAAATGAGGAAAACATGGGCATATGGCTTCTTCAAAGAAATCTCGGTGTTATCCAATGGTGCAAGATTAATGACAAGCATCAACCTGTTCAAAATAAAACAAAAAAGAAAGGAAATCTTTGAAAAACTGGTCCTAGCCAGTAAAGCAATCCATAATAGACTATGCAAGCTATTAAAGCATGACAGTCATTGTGGTTTCTGCTACAAAAAAAAAAAAAAAATTTGCAAAAGGAAAAGCTGAAGCCCTATGTGACGTAGGGACCACCCCCTCAAATAGTGAAGAAGATCTCATCATCCTTTGAAAAATCCAATGCAAAAAGACGTAAGTGCTTACGTCACTAAAGAAAAAGAAGAGCGTTTGCAAGATTTCATGTAATCTACTTTAGCAAAAGCAAGAAGAAAGTCTGGATCACCAGACAATAATGTAAACTTTAATCATCAACAATGACGAAAGACAAGGTTCTAAGGAATGCTATAAAAAACCTCCTATAAGTTGTAATAGGTATCAAGCATTTGAACATCCAAATACCTTACTTGAAAACCTTTTACTATACATGTGTACACACCCTTCAAGAGGAAAGGGAACTTTCTTTTCTTTTCTCAAAAATAAAATTATGTTTTAGAATAATTTTTGTGTTTCGATCCTTCTTTATTTCTATCATAAAATAAAATGAAAAGAATCCTAAAGAAACTAAGGCAACAATGAAGGCACTTGTCTTATTCAGATACCCATTTTAACCTAAGTTTGGCATTAAGCGTTGGACGAAGGAAGCATTTGCTTGACTGAAGGCTAGTCCAAAGGATTTTCAGGTAAAATTCTAACTCATTTATTTTATCATGCGAAAGCAAGGTGGGCATAGAAACAAATTTATTATTCTTTAACATTAGATTATTTTTGAGATGAGAAATGATGGGGAAATAGTACCTGACCTCTTATATGTTAAATAGAAAAATCCATTTTTTAGTAAACCATTATAATTTAAGATGATTGATTTTATTCAAGAAATTGTTTTAGATAAGATAGTTTATGAGCAGTAATGCGAATATTATATAAATAAAATCATAAAAATTTTAGAAAAAATAAGTAATATTGAAGATAAATATCATTAATCTAAGAATCTCAAAAAGTTGAAGCAAACAGTTGCAGATTTAAATGAAGATCTGAAAAGATTAAAAAAGGCCAAGCAAAGATTATCTTTATTAACAATCTAGTAGATCTAATTCCACACTAACTGAACTTAACATACTAGCTATTCATTAGTTAGTAGTAGTCTGAGTTAAGTTCTGAAAACCCATAGAAAAATTTGGTATTAGAGCCAAGAAACAATAATTTTAAGTATAAAAGCTATTTTTATAGAAAATATAAATTTGAGGACTAAAAGATCAAAACAAATATAGTTAGAGGACTAACTGTTCTCTAATAAAATAGGAAGTTTTCCGTCAAAGATAACAAACTAGACGAAATTGAAATGAATCTGAAAGATAGTAAACAGGATTGGAAGAATCCAAAGATAATAGACAAAACTAAAAAAAAATATGAAAGTTAATAGATTATTTGTTAAATTAAGCCGACTCTTATGTAAATTTCTATCTCCTCAACTTACATGATAGTCTAGATAAACATTAAACATGATAGGTCCATTATATAGATTAGAATGTATGCCTCCTATCAATGCATCTTTAAAGTTCAAATGTCTACAATCTTATATGCATGCCAATATCGATGTATCAATTCCTCTTCTAAACAAAGGGCATACTCCTATTTGGATTAATCCTATATGGGCAACTAATTTCTCTACTTCTATCTTTTTAGGATCCAATAATGGAATCATTACACTTCCTTCCTCAATTTGTTCTACCTTTGTTACTCCCTCAAAACTACCTATATTGAGGCTCCATTTACTTCCTTTGTATACTTCTTTTATGACTTTTTAAGGTAAATTCCATGCAATAGCTTCTCCATTAAATTCTTCTTCAATTTCAATGCTTTCATGAGATTTATATAGGGTTCCTAATGAGGTAGTTTCTGAGGTTGTCCCTATGGAGGTTGTTGATGTTAATGCTTCTTTCATCATTCCTATGACTTCCTCTCTGGACTCATCTTCAGACTCATTAGCAGATTCATTCCATTCATAAATACTTTCACTATCTGATATTTCACTTCCAGATATTATTTCTACTTTTGAATCCAACTCTTCAAATGCTCTTATTATTTTTATACTCTTTTTTGGATTCTTCTTTGGGCAGTCAAGTGCTATATGTCCGCTCTCCTTGCATATCTAACACGTCCATTCTGACTTTGGCTTTCTCGATGAGCATGGTGGATTCTTCTTATAATTTTTAAAACTTTCAAATTTTTTCTTCTTGAAGAATCTTCCCTTTTAAAAATTCTTTTTATTTCTTTTTTATTTATCCACTTTTTTAAAATATTTTTTAAAGTTCTTTTTCTTCTTTTTAATTTCACAACCATACTACCCAGGCATGTCTATTAGATATTTGCAATTGTTCTTATTCATACTATCTTCTAGTCTCTTCTTGGAATCTCTTATTGCTAACGTGTTCATGTAATATTCTCCAAGTATCTTTTTAACAAATTGTGCTCTTAATCCTAGCATGTTTACTCTCTCATCATCCTCTTTTAAATATTTTTCATACCTCTCCATTATTAATTTGTTCTATGGGTCTGGTAACTTCTGAAAGAACTGATATATCCAAAAGGGTGTTTTTGAATTTTTTAAATTATAGTAATACTTTCGAAATTCACAATAATATTCATCAAATCTACACATCTTACATATTCTTAGCTTTGTTAATTTTCTCTTATGCTTTTTCAAATAATCCTTCAATATCTTGTTCTCCACAATTCTTTCTTTAACTCTCTAGCCATCCAATAAGCTAATTCTGGCTTTTCTCTAGTCCTAGCATCAAAGTTTGATGCATCTTTATATCTTTACTAGAAATTCTTAGCATTTCCTTGAAGTGTTGCTTCTAAATATCCTTTAGCGAATGTCCAATCCCAAGCAAGTTTCCTTTGACTACTAGATCACTAGCCTACACCCTATCTTCTACTTCTTTCCTTGGATCAATGGCATAATCTATATCTAAGTATACGCCCGTAATCGAAATTGTTTGCATTTTTCTATCTAATCTTGGTAAGAATTCATATTTAACAAGACTCTTGTACTTTCCTTCTCCTATTGCTCCTTCCATCTTTTTAGGGTTTGTTTCTCTGATATAGGTAAAATTTTGACCATTTCCTACTAAAATTTCTTTTACAAACTTAGGAGGTGGGGCTACTTTCCCAAACTTTTCTTTTTCTTTCTTTAAATAGTCCTTATATGCTTCAGCATATTGATTCATTACTTCTTCATCATTTACCTTTTTCTTCCTTTTTACTTGAAGGTCCATCCCCTTCAGAAGGGCTTCCTTCTTCCTTTTTTGTCATTTTTATGTTTTCTATAGGGAATTCTAACTCCTGCAATTTATGTTCCCAATATACCATTTCTCCAACATCTTCAATATTTTCCCAATTCTCAAGGATTTCTTCTTTAGTCATACTTTCTCCTATTGGTTTGAGATGCTCATGAGGGTTTAACTTAAACTTGCCGCAATCAAACATCCACATCTCATTTTTTTTATCTTCTTGAACTTCTTTCTCTATTATATTTTTAGGATTTTCTGCTAAAGATTTTAATAATATCTTACTTTCTTCATTTAAATCTAATTTTCCAATTTCTGTAAATGCATCTAATAATTTATCTATTTCTTCTACTTTTGTAGACACATGATATAATAAATCTACAACAAAATTTAATATTCCTTTGACCTCTATTATGATTGCTACACTTAAATTCTTTGGATTCAGGATTTAACTAACAACAATTAATATTTGTATCCCAAAATGTCATTTTAGAGGTTTTTAACTTAATGGACTCAGCTACAAATATACCTTTTTATGTTTACCGATGTTTTAATGAAAGGGTTATTCCATCTAAGTTTATGAAGTTGAGGTGTCAAAATATAAGTGAAGAACTAAAACCTCTAGATTTATTGAGATAAAGGCTAAAACTAAAAGTAGCCTTTTGCCCAAAGTAAGCAGCGTATCAATTGGTTTGCCAAATTTAGAGTTGATGTATTGCTTGTATAGTGCATGCAAGTCTAGATACCGGCCAAAACCCTCCTCTCCAGTAAATTTGATGACCGGCAATGCCTCGTACCGATCATAGCCTGCATTAGCATCATGAGAAGCCGGATGCTTTCTATGGTACTCACGAATCTATTTCAACCTACCATAGAAAGCACAAAACCCGTCTGTTCCAAGTGCCGCAATCTCTTCCTTTCTCGCATTATCTTTATCTTCGTAAGTATCCATGAGTCTGTTGGCGGTGGAGGTAATAGAATCGATCCTCTGGCGTACCCTATGGTTCCGAATCGAGCGGTGTTTCCGGCTAGTTAGTGGGTCGGTGTCTTCAAGGCACTGGACTATGAGTAGCTCCAGCCTCTCCACCTCCTCATGTGCGGATCGAGTCGCCTCCACTAGTGTTGAAGCCATGATGGTGGCTTTCTTTCGATTCAGGAAAATTAACGTGAAGGAAGTTGAGAAAAAGTCATATATTTTATAGGTTCTTCAATTCTAATTCTATTCGAATCCCATCTCTAGATGTTAATTAGTGGGTATGTAATTCAAATTCAATCTAATCCTAGTTGTAATCTAATTAGGTTCAATCCTAATCCTAGTTGAATTTGAATAGGTTATATACACTTTGTGGAATCCTCAACCTCCACCATCTGAGAAAAGAACAATAGTGCCGATGGCTGATTCCTACAAAACCCACCCATGAAAAACGAAGAAATGGAAGAAGAAGGAAGACAGTTGGCTATTGAGAAAAACCCGGTGGAATTCAAATAATTAGGCCTTGATAATGCCCAAGTCGAGGCTTTGCTGAAGACAACCTGAGGTCGTTGTGACCATCACACCCATTAATTTAAGCTAAAATTTTGTGTTTACACTATACAAAATCAGTACAAGCTCAACGTAACAGAGAAAAAAAGAAAAAAAAAAAAATCAAAGATGCAAATTAAAAGGTAGATTTTGAACTAGGAACGAACAATAACAGACAAGCTAAGGTCCTTGTGCCTCTTGGCAAAGCAGAGAGTTGAAGGAGTTCGCACCTGGATGCATTTTTAGGGTAAACTGTGCGACATGTTAGACTGTGCTGAGTGTTAGTGTTGTTAACACGTTCCTAGACTAAAATAATCTCATTTCCAACCTCCTCAACTGAATTGGCAATTCAATTAACACCAGTACATACCTTAAATATATTTACATTCTAGTTTTAAGTACTTTAAAGATCAACCTCTAGTTTGGCCAAAAAAAAAAGAAAAAAATCAAACAGATAAAATAAAACCGCAGATGGTTAAAATTTGCTAAGGCAAAATATATAGCTAGATACAAAGTCTTAAGCAAAAATATTTAACACTCATACAACTATAATCTTGGCCAAAAAACACTATGATATATGTTAAAATATAAAACTGCGAGTTCCACAGCTCAAAATCAAACCATTTGGTTCCCATGCATGAAATATCCCGCATTAGGAAACAGAAAACTGCATTTATTATGTAGTACTGATAAGAAGTAAGAGAAAGGATCTTAATCAAGAAATGTAGATTCCAAATATAGCAAACTTAACCATACTTAAAAGATGAAGCCAAAAAAAAGAAAAGATAATAATCAAAAAGAAAAAAACTAGGACAAGATAGGCCAAAGATAACCCATATCACTCAAGTCTTTTCCTTTCACTGTTCTACTTTTATCATTCTCAGCTTAGATAATTATGTTACATTCTTCTTTAAAGTGCCTTAAAAATGTAATTAAACTCATTAATGCGCATTAACCCACAACATGCAGCAAAGCTGCTAAACAAATTTTAGTGACAAAGTGAGGATAAACAAAAGCAGCAGACGGAAAACAGAACCAGACTAACAAGGTCTGAAAAAAAGGACAGTTAATAAATGCATCTAACACGAATCGTTTGAACTAAAAGAGATTAGTTATGCAGGTAAAACATAACTACTCTTTTCATGAGATTTTCACCATTTTAGATCTGGATCAAAGGTATTCCAGAAATGAACAGTAACCTTGATTGACAAGCATGATGAATTAGACTTTTCTTGAATTTAATAAAGGTAGTATATTTATTTTATAGAAGTTAAATATGATACTGCTATCAGGTTACATTCAGTGTTGTGTGTGTGTCAATACCGATGTTCCTACAATTTGATTATGAACTTTCTCAGTTTAATTTTTCTGATTTTGTATCTACTAATTGTACAAAAGAGATATGTATTGATGTATATAGGGCTATCAACTATCATCACCAATCCAGACAGATATTTGCCATATTGTAGCTTCTCTCCTAAACAAAAATGTCAAACAGGTTTCCTTTGAAAATAAAATACCAAAGTGTGGAGCATCAGACACAGGCAAAATAAAAACATCAGATCTAACAGAGAACAGAGAAAACCTACACATTTAAGCTTTTTGTTTTTCTTGTTCATTCTTTTTCTTGTATTCTCAAGTCTCAACTTCAGTAGTAGCAATATACACTGTTAACTTCATTTTAAGGTCCAACTAAACACCAAGTTAACCACATAAAGATCTATAACCCACAACATTTCAGTTTCAAAACAAAATTATAGAGTTATTTCAGACACCAATTTTGTTTGACCTGGCTCAACAGTATTCTAGACACCAGAGGCAAACTTAGATGACGAGGTATTATAAGCAAAGTTTACAGGAACTCAATTTCAATCAAGGAAACACAGTAGCATAGAAATTAGTGAAGATTCATAACCTAAATTCCATCTCAGTCCTATATATACTATTCTAAATATTAGTGGGTATATTCAAAATTCAGATTGAATCCTAATCCTAGTATTATTCTAATTACATTACTTTGAACGTTCAGTGCTACCATCTAAGAAAAAGAACATCACCACAGTGCCCGCGGTCAATTCCTATAAACCCATACATGAAAAAAAATGGTTGGGTATTAAGAAAAACCTGGAATTCAAGAAATTGGGCCTTGACAATGCGCAATTCCAGGCTTGATTTTCCAGCACCCATGTTGCTGAGGAGAACCTGAGGCTGTGACCACCATGGGGTAAAATGAAAAATAGGCGAGAAAAATAAGGAAAGCCTCGATTAGCTCTCGATAAGATTTCCAATATATTTTGCAATATAATACTATGGAACTAGAGAATTATAGACAGTTTCTCAAAGAAAAGAATAACAGAGAATAATAGATGATGAATAAGATATCAATTTCTTGACAAAACTGTTAGGATGGCGTTGCAGCCTCTAAATACTAACCTAATGTCCAAATCAACAGCTGATACAGAATAAAACAGCAGCCAATATAGAATAAAATGACAATTATATAGCATAGCACAACCTAATCCTACGTGGCTACACAGTAGCACCTCCCAAGGTCCACGTGCCAAGCCTTCATATTTCCATTTATCATTCCCTTCCCCTTCAGAGCATCCTTGCCCTCTAGGATGAACACTGCTGCTGCAATTGGCCAGTACACCAACACCCTCTTCCTACCTCTATGCAAAAAAGCTACAAGCTACTGTAGGGAGGCATAGTCCAAGCCCGGTTGCAGCATAGGGTAATAAATTGGGGAAACTAAATGTCTTCTTTGATTGGAAGGTATACTTGTTAAATGGTTTCCCTCCTAATCACCAAATGAACCCCTGGCTTATATTAAAAAAGAATGCAAGGAAAATCCTGCCAGCAGTATCCCTCAAGGACTGTGAATGCTTGAAGTCACAGAAAAAAAAAGGAAGTCTGATATCAGCACATTATTTATTTTCTGTATAAACTTCTGACCATGGGTAAAAATATTGGAAGACAAGCAAGGATTGATATTCCAGTACAGCAAAACAGAAGAGCAAGGGCAGCACCAATTACGACAAAGGCCTTCTGCAACATTCTAGCAGTCCACATTACATTACATATGTTTGAATCATGACTTGATGTCCTATGTTTCCGGTGGAAAAAAAAAAAAAACATGACTTGAGGAGCAGCAATAATGCTTGTACCTCAAACGGTAGCAAAAAAATTATAAAAATGTAGAAAGCAATTGCTGGAATCGTTATAACAAATACTGGAGCAAAAGGTAGCAATAACTATCCACAACTTAGCATATGTTTCGTCAAATTTAGACCCTTAAACTCATCAGGTAGCAACCCAAACGGGTAAATTCTTTAATTTCCTTGAGCATTCAGGTAGTTTAGACAATGCATACTCATACTCATCAACTGGAATTAGCAACCTAGTCATGTGAATATGCAGCTTAAAATCTCTGATAAGACCACCTAATAGGGATATAAGGCGTGGTTTTCTGGTATACCTGGGTCTGGGAGTAGCATCCTTTTGCTTTGTTCCGCTGCATTATAGTTAGTTAATCAGCTAGTTAATCAGCCATGGTAGCTTTGTAAACATATTGCACAATTTGAGCTTCAGGCTCTTCTAACTAGATGAACCACTTACCATGGTGCAGGGATTCTATTGAAAATCCTGCATGTGGGCTCAACACAAGGCTTGCATCTAACTTAAAATCAATTGATAATAGGTGGAGTAGCCCTCCTTGTATTTAACCCACAAGCTTATTATTTTTATACTCGATGTGGGATTTTCCCACTTAACACGCTCCCTCACGTGCAGGCCTGCTATGAATGTCGGATTTTGTCACGTGGGTTAACACGCCTCCTTAAATGCAGGTCCGGTATCAACTTCGGATCCTGTTAGGTCGGTTAACAACGGGCTTCCCATGGTAGAACCTGGGCTCTGATACCATATTGAAAATCCTGCATGTGGACTCAACACAAGGCTTGCATCTAACCTAAAACCAATTGGCAATAAGTGGAGTAGCCCTCCTTGTATTTAACCCACAAACTTATTATTTTCATACTCGATGTGAAATTTTCCCACTTAACATGCTCCTTCACTTGCAAACCCGCTATGAATGTCTCACGTGTGTTAACAGATTCACCCAAATTATTGCCATAACCCCAAATTTGGGTAAGTTAACTTTAGACAGCCAATAAATTCCTAGGATTTCAACCCCAGTGGAGTCCAGAATGGGTTCATCTTCCTTCGTGATGGATGAAACGGTCACTGCCACCGGTGGATAAGAGGTAATTTCAGAGGGCTCCCTTGCGGGTTCCTCGTCATCAGTAACCAAAAAATCGGTGGCGGAGAACTCAAAGCAGGTTGGAGGTAATCGCTGTCATCAGAGGTTGCCCGAGCCTGAGGGTTCAAGTGATTCATCGGAGAAATTCCTTGTATCTCTAGCTTGCGGGTCTCGGTTTGCTTGCCGGTATTTCTTCCTCTTTTTTTTCTTTTTTTTTTTTTTTAACTAACCTCCAGTATCCTGTAAAACTAATTGAATATTGACTGATCCCGATACAAATTGCGTCGGATTACGTCCAGGGAAGTTTCCACTGTACTTATTTTTGTATTTACAATATTTAAATTTAAAATTTTATTTAAAAAATTAAATTCTTTTCATTTTTATCAGCAGATTGTCGGTATAT